TTTTCTTGCTGTAGCACGGGTAGAATCTGCACCGTACAAACTCCCTGTGGTCCATTTTCAAAGCCTTTCAGTCCTTTCTGAAAGGCAGCAGCATCTCTGCTGCGACTGAGATACCTCTGCTAAGTGCTGTACAAACCCTGATGACCTTGCCTTGAAGTGGTGATGCTGCCTCGGAGAAGGGGATTAGATGTTAGAAAAATTGTTGCAGTTCATGTGAATTTAGTCCAGCCTTGAAATCTTGTACTAACTGAGAGTGTCCACGTGTAGTGTCATGGTGTAGTGACTTTTAGCAGTAGATTAGTATGACTGCCCATATTTGTGTCTGACTCTTCTAGTGCAATGTCCCAGAAGGTGGGCTTGTGCCCAAGTCACTCTACCAAGCAGATGAGGAGCCAGAGAACCCAGAGCACATCCGGTTATGGACAGAAACGATCTATCATTCTGCAAGTGTCCTCAAAGGAGCTCCGCATGAGGTACAAAACAGAATTTTATATAGCTGAAGGGGGAGCTTAACTGGTAGCAGCGGTGTGTTCTGTTTAAAGTTGTCTAGAGCAATGGGTGGCTCCCAAAATGCAAGTGCTGGATGTTTCAGCCGTAGTGCACCCTTCTTGGGAAGGTTGAGATAGGCCAGCTAACAGCTACGGGTGCAGAAGTTCAGAACAGTCATTTCAGAAGCAGCGCGTCTTATCTCTAGCGTAACCAGTTCTGTACAGTGCAGTTTCTTCCTCCTTTTTTGAGGAAATAGAGGCTCCCTCCGTTTCCCTTTTGCGATGCTGCTGCTTCCATTCCTGTTGGTTCAGCTAGGACAGCGATGGTCATGGTAAAAGAAGGTAGTACATTAGCTGACTTGGTAATCAGAGAAGAGAATGTCCAAGAGGACACTTTAAAGAGCACTCTAATAATCCAATCCGTTAGCTTGCTGCATGATGAGTAGCTCTGAATCGGCCTCTTTGGACTTCTCACAAAATGGACGTGACTACTGGAGTACTCTACAACTGAAAAAGCATATTTGCATAGGATGGAGGAAGATGCTGGTTGTTATCTGAAGTCCTAACTTTTTAAAATGTTCTTGTCTTGTTTCCTTTTTAGATAGTTGTAGAGATTTTGGAAGGGGAATCTGTGATCACCTGGGACTTTGACATCCTGAAGGGAGATGTGGTGTTCAGCCTCTTTCACTCCAAACGAGCTCCTGAAACTGGTCGCAAAGAAGCCACGTTACCAAGTACCTCTCTTGCGGGGGACAATACGCAGCTGATTGATAAGACCTGGGTCCTGGGGGTGGATTACAGCCGTATGGAATCTCCGCTGGTTTGTCGGGAAGGAGAGAGCATCCAGGTAAGAGGTGTTTGGATACTTGGGTTGATTTTACAGTCCTAGCAAACTACTGGAGTGCTTTTTACAGGGCCTTGCTTCAGGCATGTAAAATAAAATTGAACAAGATGTGTTCTCCAAACCACTTAGCCCAGTAGTTTCTTTTGGCTTCTGTGAAGTCATTCAGCTATTTCTTAGGACTTCTGGTAGTCTTGAGATGCCATTCCTTATCTTTTTCTTCCAGGGATCTCACGTGACTCGCTGGCCCGGCTTTTACATTCTCCAGTGGAAAATGCACGGCCCTCTGCCCTGCTCTGGCACTAGCCTCCCTCGCGTGGATGATGTCCTTGCCTCTCTGCAAGTTTCCAGTCATAGGTGCAAGATCATATACTACTATGAGGTGCTTGCGTCCAAGGACTTCAGGTAGGAGATCT